TAGGTCTGACGAACTGGAACCGAGCTGTTCTGCAGAGCTGGTGACCACAAAGGTATTACTCCTTATTGAAACTTAAACATTATCAAGTTATCTTGATTAATAAACCGGCGATGCGCTGATCCACTTTATTCACTTCCGATCCGATACAGATACCTGCGGTTTAGTATCGGTCGATACAGATCCAATATCGATCCAATATTGATCTGATACAGTTAAACAGTGCTGAATTAACAAAAATGGCTAAATCGTCATCTGTTTCAGAAACGGGTCCAGTTGATATAATTTAGCCATTTTTGTTGTTGTCTACCTGGATGTTTGAGCTTACAAACCCAGTGCTGAATTAACTTAAAACATTTGTTTTGTTAAACGCAGACATGAATGTACTGAATTACAAATTTATTGAAAGCTCTTCTTCATGTCAGCACCCTTAAACACACCAAGAGCTTCACAAGCTCGGTCAAACCTGTAAAAACAACCCAACTTTAATTTGTTCAGTCAGTACGTTAGCGCGTGATGTCACTCGGAGCACAAAGCATAGAGTTAGAGTGAATAGATCTGCCCAGGCACGGATCGGTCACATTGTCACAAAACGATTTATGGGGGAGTGGTAGCGCAGAGGTTAGAAGATGAGCCTGTGATCGGAAAGTCGCAGGTTCAACTCCCGGTACCGTCAATATCAAAATGTGGGTGGAAAAGGTGAAACACCCACACCTCCCTCCACCCTCATTCTCCCCACTCTGGGCTCCTGAGCAAGGCCCTTAACCCCCACCATGTGCGCTCTAAACAGGTCTCTCTTGATAATGAGTTCGCGTGGCTCAATGAGACTACCTGGATAAATAAAGTTTAAATGGGAAAACAAAAAACTCAAGTTTTTTCCGATATCGGTACCGATACCGATATTGGATCGGTGCATCTCTATAATAAACTCTCACTAAATAAACTTTTGCTTTTGTTTAGTTGCTTTAATTTTTTTTATTCGACCGAACTTGTTTCAACTTAGAAATCTGTGTCATTTCTACTTTGCGGATTTTCACGTATTGCGGCGGGGGGGGGGGGG